GACGCTGGAACAACAGGATCAGTGGAGGAAGTTTTAATCTGGAGTCTGAAATGTTTTATGCAACCAGACACCAGTCGAAGCTTCGTGTTTGTGCGTTTGTGCGTTTGTGAGCTTGTTAATTGTGCGTGTGCACGTGCTCAGCTGCAAACACATTCCTGTGCAGGGTTAGTGCTCCGTGTGTGTGTGTGTCAGTGTATGGATGGTATAAGCAGCTTTCACTGATGTCATACTTTCACCAGGACGCAGGAAGTGGAGCCATAAGCTGCATAATCACACCCACCTGTTGTCTGTGCGCCGCTGCTGTAGAAACACGCCGCCATGATGAGGCCGACCAGAGCAGCCCGCCTCCACTCCATGCTGGATCGGGTTTCTCTGTACCTGCGACAGAAACACAAAGTCTGTTTCACATCTGGAAGCAGCTCCATCACAGCGTGGGGGGCGGCGTGGGGGGCGGCGTTTTACTGGCACGGATACCAAACGCTCCGACAAACATCTGCTCCACGAGGAACGTGAGGCTGAGTAGATGTTTGCAGAAGCTTTTTGTGCCAAAACAGAATTTTGATATACAACAGAGACAGAAACACAGCAGAGACACGAGGGGAGGAACAATATTTATGATAGTGATTATGGGATGTTTCAGCCCCAGTTAGGATACTTACAATCGTCCAGGTTAAATTATTGGACAAATATGTGTAACTTTCATTTTTTAAATAAAGGTTTGAAGGATTTGTCTAATAAATTGTTCATGAATGGACGACATGTTGTTTATTAATGCACACAGTGTTCGTAAGGCATGAAAATAAAGCATGCATCAGGAGTCCACAGTCTGCATCTGCAGCCGAGGATGAACCCTCCACACAGGAAATATGGATTTGCTTGTCAAGATGTGACAGGAATCATCTGATGTTTCCCAATCTTGTAACAGTAAAGAAGCCATCCAAAAATTCCTGCATCCAGTAAAGTAAATCACTTCCAGCCCCGCGCCTGAGCTGAGACATGTGAGATGGAGCTCATAATGATGACGATGGAGCTTCCTGATTGGTCAGTTTTTAATCAAGCTGAAATGGTTCGCTGAGCGTGTCTCGCCCACTGATGTTGAAAGTTTCAGTGTAATTATTGAAACGACACATTCCTGCTCGCCGCCATGAACTCATTTCCTTGCAGTGCTGTGAAACCAGAACCGCAATAAAAGCTACAAATCATCGAGCGGCAACTACGAGGTCACCAATCACGTCTGTGCGACGTCTGTAAATCAGTGTCAGCCACGGGAAACTATTAAAACTCGGCGTGTGTGAGCGCACTGACAGGAAATAAGATGTGACGCTCAGTTTGAATAACGTCAGCGTTGCCGTGGAGTCAGGGACACGGCAGGGGAGGAGCCAGCGTTGCCGTGGAGTCAGGGACACGGCAGGGGAGGAGCCAGCAGGAATCAGGAAATTGTAATTTAGTCAAAAGCATTTTGTGAATCCACATGGAGCAGCATCCGTAGCATCCAGGCGGGAAGCCTGTTAGCGGGTTACACGTCCAGCAGGGGGCGACTCCTCTGGTTCCTGATCTGACAGCTCAGGGAACTATGAGGTCTCGGTCGCTGGTTTCAGGTCGGATGGAATTAAAAACCATGAGGATAATTCTGGAAACGAATCCCGTTAGAGCAGGAAGGACGAGCGAGATGATCGAGGGGTACGCTCTAAGGTGAATGAAATGCTTCTGTGTCCTTCACTTACTCGTATCCACCGTCAGCACCACACCAACCAGTGGCCATGTCCATCTTTTATATACAGTGTGTGTAAAACACCCTCAGACATCCTCGGCTGGTTTCTGCTGTCGTTGGGCCAAACACGATAACTCCACGTGCAGCTCCACAGCCTCAGCAGCCAGATGAGTCAGACTCTTTCTGGTGTTTGCAGCTAGACTTCAGAGCATCATCTGGCTCTCCTCACGGCCTCACGGTGCCATTTCCTGAGATCTGTAGGCTGCAGACAGTGTCTGGCCACATCACAGGCCGGATGAATGAGAGAATATTTTAAATGTTGTCTGGACGATGGTGCTTCAGATGCAGAGGAGCTCCCTGCTGGCTTTTACTGCCTCTCTACTTTCTTGTCTCACGCCCGCCACCATAACGTCTCTGCTCTCTGTTTACTTCCTCATTTCAAACTCGGTCCTCCCTGAACTCCTGCTCACATCATCTCACAACAAAACAACATCAGATTTAATCTGTTCATCCATCATTAGAAGAGCAGGAGAACGTCGTTTACTGCAGAGGAGCATCGTCTTGGACGAATTGTTCACACGGCGACACAATCGTGCACGACGTGCAGGTGAGCCGTGTCGTCAAACCAAAATAACATATCTGACTAACGTGCGTCGGTACTCGAGTGAGGATGTGGGCGTGGCTACTACAAACCAGAAGGTTTTACTGGCTTTAAGTTCCCGATCAATAAACTGTTTAATATGTCAGTGATCTGTCCTGAATCATGGTTTCCTTCCTCGTCTCCTGCTGCCTCACACTTCCTGTGAATTTCACCAGCTGATTCCAGCTAATAAAGATTTCAAACTCGTCTCTGCCTTTTACAAGGTGCTGCAGATAAATCTGCTTCATCCTCAGGCAGCAAAAGTAACAATAAGCAGCTCTGGATCTGTGTGGGCTTCATTTATTGGACAGCTGTACTCCAGCTCACGCCTCCCTCTCTCCGTCTACATGACCATGTGTTCGCCCACGAGCGTATTTCAGAGCTGTGTTTAATCACGGGCCAAATGCTCGAGGCCCTGTGAGTGGAGGAGGATTTGGGGGAGGGTTATTCTAATGCGAAGCATGTGGAGGTCATCAGCGCTCCAGTGACAGGCTGATTGAAGCGAGGTCCAGCTCTAGTTACACGCACCTCCAACTGTATTTACTCGTGAGCGGCTCTTTCCTGTTGGCTCTACGGACCGTAGATGTTTGATGTTAAAGAGTGAAGGGCCTCATGGTTTCTAGTTCAAACTGGTGTCACACATGCAGGAGGCTCTCCTCGCTGATGAGGACATTATAGAGCTGACGCTCTGCAGGCGCGCTGGAGGACAGTTTGTGGCCTCTGAGCAGCGTTTAGGAGAACGCTGCGTCGTGGACAGCTGCATGAAGCTGGAACGTTTCTAACATGAATCTGTGTCCGAACAACAATCCCACATTCAAAGCCTCAGCTGTGGAGGTCAAAGAGGAGCTGAGACTGGACTCGTGTTGAGCGAGCCCGCCCTCTCGCTGTCTGGAGAGGCTGAAACTAAGAAATGCCGTCTGACAACCAGTGTTGGTCAAGTTACTTTGAAAAAAGTAATCGTAACTAATTACTGATTACTTCCCCCAAAAAGTAATCCCATTACTTTACTGATTACTTATTTTCAAAAGTAATTAGTTACTTAGTTACTTTTTAAAAACAGGATTTACAACCTGAATAGGTGATAAAGTGATAGATCTTTCAGCCCAATTCTACTTTTTCTACATAATCATCATACAAAATGTAATCAAATGGAAAAGTCTCTTTTTAAAACTTGTTTTATTAGTTTTAATCTTTTAACTTTATGCATCAAGCAAACATTTAATTATCTGCAACATTCTCTGACTGGAAGAAATTAGTTTAACATTTAAACCTATTTTCTGCACATTCCAGCACATAAAATAAAATATTTTGTGTGTTTACACTCAGTCTTTCAAAGAGATGCAAGTAAAACACAGCAGAAAATAAATAAAGTCAAAGACTAGCGGTCCTGTTGCTCTATTTTCACCTGTATAGCAGGAGTGGGGTAGGCGGAGGGTTACCCTGGTGCAGGTGTGCAGCGGTCAGTGGAAGAATCCGCGAGTTTCTCTGTGAGTTTCCCATTACGTCGTAGCTACTCGGTGCTTGTTTGGAAGTTTAGGGGTTTTTTCGCTGTAAAAAGAAGTTTTCTTCCCACGCACAACGGACACTAATGTTTTTGTCACTTTTTATGGAATCAAACTCAAAGTAAGGTCAGTACTTCCACGCTTTAAACGCTGCACGCTCATACTCTCTCTGCACTCGATATATGATCCATTGTTGATCTGCACACAGCTGTTGTCACGAACGTCGCACTCGCTTACGTCACTGTCATGAGACATTCTCGCAAAAAAATCACGGTTTTAGTAACGCAGTAACGCAGCGTTCCTACGGGAAAGTAACGGTAATCTAATTACCGTTTTTGCAATAGTAATCCCTTACTTTACTCGTTACTTGAAAGAAGTAATCGGATTACAGTAACGCGTTACAAGTAACGTTATTTCGATGGTCCGCCTCACATACGAACTGTTTACCTGCTTTTACCTGCTCACTGTCGCTGTGCATCTGCAGGACGCTCTGGAACCCACGCCCACCCCAACCTCTTCTTTCCAGCCTCCGTCTGACTCGATGTGGGCTGCTCGTTTCTCCAGGTGTTGCTGCTGAGCCCGTTCTCATCCTCTGGACGTCCAATGGAAACACCTCCAAGCATCAGCCTCACATGGATGAGCGGGGTTACTGCTGTGATGGGGCAAAAGCTCAGCCTGGTACTTTTCAGAGCCTCAAACAGCGAGTGAAATCCTGGACTGAGCAAATCGAGCAGTGGCTCTGCGATAATAGCTTCAAATCTATAGAGGTCAAAGACTTTGTGACTCCTGTGGAGTTTCCTGATGTCACAGACATCCAACGCTCATCAGCCGTCTTTTAGCGATGAATGAAAAAGGAGAAAGGAGAGGCCCGACAGCTACACGCATGCAGGGAAAGTGAGACTGAACGTCATGCTTGGTCAGACAGGAGCGTTTTCATGATGCAGAACCTGAACGAGCTTCACTGAAACGGTCGGGAGGACCTGGAGCTGCTCCCGTGAACAAACACAGGCTAATGCACGCGGCCGATGCTCAACCTGCACTTCCATCCAGACAGAGAATAAACGCCACGCAGCTGAAACAGTCGCACACCTCTGCTGTGACCACACAGCGACTTATTTAACGTCTCTGCTGGGGCGAAGAGAAAAGGAAGAGGTAATGGACGATGAACGGCGAGCAGGGCGAGGCCTCAGAGCAGAAAGACAGAGCGTCTGTCCCCGTGAGTCAGTAAATGGAGTGTAACATTACATGGGGCGGTTTGCACTGAGCAGAGCTGAAGACAAGAAAATAATGAGGCTCAAATGTACGTCAGTTAATGTCTCCTGTTCCTAACATGAAGCCTGCCACCAACACTGAACCTAAATCGCCTCCTGGCTGCAGCAGCCATCGCGCTCGCCAGGAGCAGAGGTGGACTGGGGACTGTTTCGGGTCTCAGACAGGGATTACCTGTCCAGCTGGAAGCAGTCTGGCTGCTCGGAGTACTTGGCTGAGTTTCCCAGCACTACTACAATCGAGCGAGGGTCTAACA